CATTCATTCGTAATCAGACACAGGTTTTTATGGTACAGTTTAAGTCCGACATGCCACTTTCTAAATGAAGCTATAAGGTGACTGAAAAATGCACTCACAGTCCCTTTAAAAGAGGGAAAAAGGTATCAAGAGGGTTAAAGAGGTAGTTCGGGTTAAACAAAAAATATAACTAAAAAAGAGGTTGAATATCCAAGGTTTGTCTAGTTGTCTGTGACTGGTAGAACCAGAGCCGGATACCAATCCACTTAAACCTTGTTAATTAAACAGTTTCTTTAATCAGCTCACAAGATGAACAGATGGAAGAAAAGAATCCAAATGTAAAGAATCTTTTCACACTCTTCCCTCTGCAGAATCTAAAGTTTTACACATAAAAGATTGAAACTAAGTGAGACCTTTTGAATAAGATCCTCCAGTTTTAATGCACAAGCGTAAAAACACTGTTGTAATTGGAATCCTTAAAGCAAAGAACCCATGTTTTAATATAGAGAAAATATTTCTTAACTGTAAACTTGTAAACCTTTAAAACTGTAAACTTGTAAACCTTTAAGATAGTAAACTTGTAAACTTTTAGACTGTAAGCTTGTAGACCTTTTAGATTGTAAATTTGTTAACCTTTAAGCGTACATTAAATTCAGAAACCATTAACCTCTAAACTTTCAAACCTTTTTGAAACCAAGAAGCTTTATAACTTTTTTTAACTAAAAAAATAGACCTTTGAAATGTAAATCTTGTTAACAAACCTGTAAACAAGTAAATCTATATAAACCTTTCAACCTTTCAAGCTGTAAACATGTAACCCAGTATACCTGTAATCCTATAAAACTATAAATTTTTAAACCTGGAAACCTCTAATAGAACCTCTAAACCTCTAAACCTCTAAACCTCTAAACCCGTAAACCCGTAAACCCGTAAACCTGTAAACCTGTAAACCTGTAGACCTGTAAACAGGTAAGCTTGTAAACACATACATGTAAACCGGCAAACTTGTAAACTTGTAAACCTGGTAACCAGTAACCTGTAAACCTGTAAACCTCTTGTAAACCTGTATATTATCTATTTGTTCATATATGTTTGGATGTACATTTCTATTCAGTATTGGTACATATTATATATATAGAGCAGATGTATCCAATATACTTGAACATATTGAAGTATTGGGAACCGAAATCTAGCTTGCCAGCCCTCACATCTTTTATTTACACCAGGAATGCAGGAATATAAGATACTAGGCTTATAGGCCGCTTCGTGCTCATCCTCTATTCCAACTTTTGATTTTGGCTTTATAAAACAAAACCAGAAAAAGTTTGCGGATCTCATAATATTTTTTCGCACATTTTTAAAATTTTACAAGAATAAAAAACTTTGAAACACAAATTTTTAAAATTTGATCATATATTCAAAAATCTTCCCTAGGGTCACATAAGGTCCCACACAAAATTTGGGCCCGATCGGTTTATTGATTACAAACAAACAAACAGACATCCAGACAATCTAAATTTATATATAGATTGAGTATAGTTAACTATATTGTGTTAGACATACACAAACTTTTGTCACCTGTAGGGGATAAAATCTTAAAGAATTGTTACTTTTTTATCTGACCCATTTTTTTGGAGAGTTTATTTGTTTAACAGTGCCCTTGACACATCAGAAAAGAATCAAATACCACGGCTTTGTGACACTTTAGAGTCGACCCAGTCTTAAAAATGCAATTTTTCATTGCAGTTTGTATGTATTACCTTGAGCATAGTCAGGTTAGTATATTAAAGTGATAGTAAAGTATATGAAGGAAGAATATATCGGGGTACAAGACTGGTGATAAGAATTACAAATACTGAAGTAGATTTTCCACATCTTGGTTGAATACAAAACAGTGGTTCTCCTTACATCTAACCAACCATTATATGTTTACACTTTCCGTTCTCAGCTCAAACTAAACACTTCTTTAAACGTTATTGCTTTATAGAAGTTTATGTCTTTCAAAGTGAAAACTGAAACCCATTTTTTTAAAGTTTAAGTTTCCTAATAACTAAACTTTTGTACTTTAAACCTGTTACGGACATTTGGGTAACTCATTAGGTTTCAATTTCAAACTATGATTAATTACGCCCTGCCCACTTATAGTTTGCACAGGATACAAAACTAATTAAATAACAAATTCCATAATTAACTAAACTTTTTTTAATCATTAAATGATTTGTCTCTAAAGACTAAAATTCGATCATATCTTCCAAATCATATTGACACCCCAATTAGCTGTACTTGCTAAGATGAACCAGATTTAGATATCAGTTTTTACGCCATCAAGTTTTACCCTTGTGGAAGTTAATTGTAAAGATTTTTATTAAACTACTGTTCTCTTCCATTAGGTCTGGGCCATTATTACTTTTACCGCCTTTTCCGACCCATGGGGCATAATTTCCTTCAAAAGTGGGATGTTGTGTTACTTACCTACACCCTTGGAACAATAAAGACAATAAAATCCCGCTGTATAAAGGTTTCATAAAAAAAATCGCGCATTTTCATCTCAAAAGATGATAAACTAAGTATTTAACTACTATAAGTCTGTGTAGCTCTCTAGACAAAATTTGCATTAGGAACCCTTGGTAAAATCTCTAAACTTCCCTGTAATGTATAATTTTGAATAATTATTTCAATCCGTTCCTTATACCATGATGAACCGTTAATTATCAATTCGATAGCGATTACGTTTTGTTCCGTTCGTTAAGTTAACGGAACTTTTTCCAACCCTACTGATCAAAGATTTTGGGCCTAAATTTCAATAACTATTCAGATATATTATAGTTGGGGTTGGTTAGGACAGTAAAAGAAATGTACATTGGTTACCAGAATTTTCCGTAATTTTTTCGAAAGTTCCAAATCCTTTCATCCACGGAGCTTTCCTATGGTCCTACTTCACTACCAGAAATCGATTTTAAAATTGGCCATTCTTAATATTACAAGCAGAAATACATGTTATTTCATTTTAAAAGAAGTATAAGAAAAAAATCTAAAATTTGTTAAAATCTTTTTTGGTTCTGTGAACAGTTTTAGATTCATATTATTTTTTACCCAGTTTACACTGTTTACAGGGAAATTATAAATTTTGATTTACAGTTTACAGTTTTAGGAATTAGGTTTTGTTGAAAAGATTAATAAAAAGCCTTGTGTGAGTACTTAGTTAATGATTATCACATTAATTATTTCTATTACTGCAGCACTAGGTATTCCTGTCACCGGCTTCTTTAATTTATAAAAGTCAGGGATATACAAACCAAATTTTAAAATATAAAAAATTCAAAAAAATTCCTAAAGGCTTTGTTTAGGATGCCTACACAATACACATCCCTCTATTTAGTAATGTTTAAGCTTATTGCTTACCTACATTTGTTGTCTTCATACACAATACTATCCTTGTTTTAAAGCCTTAGTTATGTTAAATTCTAACAATTTCCTCTTTTTGTGCCTGAAGCAGAAATTCGCAAGTCACAATTTTTAGGCAGTGAAAAGTGGCTAATTCTGAATTGTGAATAGGACTCAAACTGGCAATCGCTTAAGTTACGTTGACAACTTGACAACTTGACAACTTGACAACTTGACAACTTGACAACTTGACAACTTGACAACTTGACAACTTGACAACTTGACAACTTGACAACTTGACAGTCCATTTAGGTTCAAAAATACTAAAGTTATCAAAACCTTCCCTCCCTGGTCCTGCAAATTTTCATAAGATAAAATAAAAATATTGTGAAAAATATTCTATCTATGAGCGTGATGTATGGGTTGATGGAAGGCCCCAATTTTTCGATCAATTAAGCAATGTCTGGAGGTTCAATGGTTAAACTCTACAAATATATACAAATTCAATAGTTTCCAGCTTTAGCCTCTCAGCTATAGCTATAGCTCAAGTTAATCAAAAGAAAACCTGAGGTTTAAGGCTTAAATCTGTTGTGCTTCTATATCCTCTAATTACTCGAAGTATTGATATGATTTACATTAAAAACTTGCTTAATTGCCTGTCTTTGTCTAATACTGATATCTATGCAACCTGATAGTGTAGGAGATATTTCAGAATATAATTTTTGTTATATTTAAAACCTTGAAACAAGTACACAAGAAATAGATAATTTGATGTAGCGTCCCATTTTGTTGCCTATATACTGTATAGTTTGTACATGTAAACTATAAATACAACTTGCTTAAGCTACCTAAAAGTTGGTATGGAGATTGTTAATATTAACTTATTTTTTTAAAATAAAAGTTGTTGTGCATTATTTATTTAACAGTTTTCATGGTGAGTAAATGTGATGCAAGGAGTTTGCTTTTAGTCCAACAATGGAGGATTGAAATATATTGTTCAACTTTATAAAAGAGACAGTAGTTCTACTGAATAATATGGGAAAAAAACAATTCAATTTTAATCATTAATACTTATGTTAAAAATATGTGTTAAATGAACTGAGCTGAAAACTTTAGAATGAGATATCCTTTATCTCGATTATTTAATCTGAGTATACCAATGGACACACTTTTGATTTTCTTCTTAAACCGTTCTTTCTAGGATATAGTAGAGAAAAATCAAAAACCGGTTTTTAAAATTAGAGAGTTCCTCCGTTTCTGTAAATAATCTTAAATGGCGCGCAAAATTTCAAATTTATCGGCTTCATATACGCGACTCTGATTGGTTAGTCTTGATATTAAGAAAAAGAGAGGATCAACCATTAATGATTAATCTCGCTATTCACCATTCTAAAGTTTTCAGCTCAGTAGAAATAATTAACCAAGTGAATACCCATTTTGAAAGAGGTACACAAAAGAAAATGACGACAAAGAAGACAACGACAACGAAAAAGTTAAAATCAACAACGATAAAAAAAAAGAAAAAAGTCAACACTGCGCAAAGAAACCCAGTCTTCCAGGAAGGAAACACAGCAAAATCTCCACCAGATTTCCTAATCAGGAGATATCTCATGTAAGGTTCAGATGCAGACCTGGACATGAGAAAGGAGTGCAGTTTGATCCTGAATAAAGAAACTCAAGCTCCTGACAGACCAGATGAGGACAAAAAGTTCCTTTCCCCAGCTAAGCCTCCATTGGCACGCTACTCGCGCATGGAGGGAAGGCTGGGGTTTTTCATAAAATACGCTCCATGGACTAGTTACTCCATTGTGATTTTAGATGTGTTTTTTTTAGTATTATTGTATTATATATGTTAGTAATTTAGACTGTATGTCAATATTTAAGATGCCAGTAATAAGGCATAAAGATATAAACGATAATACAGAGCAGTATACAGAGCAGTAGACATAGCAGTATACAGAGCAGTTTACAGAGCAGTATACAGAGCAGTATAGAGGGCAGTATACAGAGCAGTATACAGAGCAGTACACAGAGCAGTATACAGAGCAGTATACAGAGCAGTACACAGAGAAGAATACAGAGCAGTATGCAGAGCGGTATGCATGGCAGTATACAGAGTTGTATACAGAGCAGTATACAGAGCAGTATACACTATACAGGGCAGTATACAGAGCAGTATACAGGGCATTATACAGAGTGGTATACAGAGCAGTATACAGGGCCGTATACAGAGAAGTGCACAGAGCAGTATACAGATCAGTATACAGAGCAGCATACAGAGCAGTATCCAGAGCAGTATACAGAGCAGTATACAGAGAAGTATACAGAGCAGTATACAGAGCACTATACAGAGCAGTATACAGAGCAGTGTACAGAGCAGTAATTAATGCTCTTTTTCTATGAACATAATTTAAACGGTTAGATTGCAACAAAGCCTTGCAATTAATGGTTTTGTTCAGCTGAAAAGTAAAATTTAATTGTTTATCTTTTTTCATTCATTTTACACTGAACTGCATCATTCCTTCTAAACTTTTTTCGGAAAAAGTAAAAGAAAGTTTTTATGCTTCAAAATAAATAGATGATAAAAAAAGATCATCGAAAAAATGTTCAGTAAGTAATTCTTTTTTTTCATAAGGAATTATCATTATTTTAAGTATCTAGAGAAGAAAAGATCTGAGATTATTACAATGTAATGTCCTGATATGTTAATTTACTTAATTCTATTTTAGAAGTCAGGAAATGATAATTTTATAAAAAATAAAATCTGAATTTTCCTTTACTTCACCTTATAAAATCATCTTGGTATAATGCTTATGTAGCTGTTTATTATTGCACTGTGCAAAGTCTATTTATATTCCATACTTTCTCTAAAATATTTATAAAAATTTCTAGAAAAATCTAAATTGAAATGATATTTAGGGTAACAAAGTTTTTAGTTAAAAATGCTTAAAGGCTTAAAATGACTTGACCCTGATAAAGAAAAAAATGTGATCGAAAACTTAGTAGTACTGCGAACCAAAATAATATTATCATGAATATATAAAACTTTGATTAATGAATTACGTATGTATGGGTTCTCAGAAATCAAATTTATTTGATTTATCGATTAACATAAGTTTTTAAACCAAAAATATTAAAACTGCCAACTCGATTTCGTTTAAGCAATAATCAAAATTGTATTTCTATGAACAATTTTGGTTAAATAGTCAGCATGCCTTCTCTTTAAAATATTCCATCCCCCCCCTCGCCCCCATTTGTTAAAAATCGAAATATGTACTATGAAAATGTACATTTTTACCCGGGGGGGGGGGATGTTGGAGGTTCTTAAAATGACTTTGATAAAAGTCATATCGTCATTATGATTCATATATTTTCTAATAAAACTGTTTATGACAAGGTCATAATGATAAAATGATACGAAAAGTTTACAAATAAAGTTCTGCTTTAAAGTTTATGTTCTTTATATATCTACGTAGATATTATATGTATGTAGCCAGGGGGGGGGGGGCAAGGGTGCAGGTGCACCCCCCTTTCTTCTGACCGAGGGGTGCAATGACGAATTTGCACCCCCCCCCCCCCTATTCCTGTATAAAAGAAATTGTTTTCATAAGTTTCTAAAATCTAGTTATAAATTATATAGCCCGAGTAAGAATTGATTTCCAAACCAAATTATAATCTAAGATAAGATAAGATAAGATAAGATAAAGTTTATTGCTAAAATACATGCATCTGTATACAGATAGAGTTGAAGCACCTTGGAACACCTGACGAGCTGATAAAGAAAGCAAATACAATGTTGAAGCACCTTGGAACACCTGACGAGCTGATAAAGAAAGCAAACACAATGTTGAAGCACCTTGGAACACCTGACGAGCTGATAAAGAAAGCAAACACAATGGTGAAGCACCTTGGAACACCTGACGAGCTGATAAAAAAAAGCAAATACAATGTTGAAGCGCCTTGGAACACCTGACGAGCTAATAATGTTAAAAATCAAGAGAAACTGAAATTAAAAGTGGAACAGGACAAGGTGATCAGGCGCGCAACTGGTGGGGGGGGGGCCAAAGGGGGCAAGGTCCCCTCTAGCCTGACTAAGAGGGAGGGTATGCCCCTCCCTTAAGAAGACATACCCCCCTGTAGGGGGGGGGGGGCAAAGAGCCAAGAAGTCCACCCTGTTTTGCAATTTAGCGATTCATGAATTCTGATCCTGAGAAAATTTATGAGCTAGCAGAGCAAAAAAAAAAAAGTAATAATTGAACGTTTGTCTATTGAGCTTATAGTTCAATTGATATAATGTAGTACAACTATTCAATTAATCCTACAAGTTCACCGCAACTATTGTGTGATGTGTCAAATAAAAAAAATATTTTTCATGTAAAATCATGATTTTTTAATGAAAGACATTTCTTGTCAGTGTCTGAGTACAATGTACATATTTGATTTATGGATGAATAATGAATATATATATACGTAAATTGTAAATTAATTAATATTGTGATTTACATTAACCAGAATAGATTTCTTTTTTCATTTCATATCAGATGACACATCTGACTTACTGAATATCCGGTTGGTAAGGTTAGTTTTTTTATTGTTTGAGTAAAATTCACATTTTTCTTGCCCCCTAAAAATGTTTAGGGGGGGGGGCAAAAAAACATTTCGCGCTTCGCGCCAAATATTTCCTNTAGTTGCGCGTAGGGATTTGTCGAGATTCTAGTTTATTACAAATCTAAAAATTGTTCAAATGTTTAATATCTCCGTCAATTTTTTGATACAAAGGACAGGCCTAATTTTGGAAAGGTCACTAGACGTTTAATCTTTTTCTTGGTCCACTTTATGCCATTTATTAATTAAAGAAAATCGAAGACGACTTTCAAGTCGTCTCTCAAATCCCATGTTTAATGGGACACCCAGTAGTATATGTAAATGTTATTTATCTAAAACATAACTATACATTTTAAACTGTGAGTGTGGTGTTTAAAATGAAACATTTTATTAGAGAACTCTTTATGCAATATCCGTTATAAAGCTATGCAGTAATTTAATCATAAGAAACTTTCATGTCAACAAGAATCATTAAGTTTAATTTTGAGTTTAATTTGTATGTTTGTATGCTGGGGTTAGAGAGCATTTTAATTGTTATTGTGGGCTAGACAAATCTACGTTGTAATAGATACCCGTCAGTAGATTCACAATTATTAAAGAATTCAATAAGTTGAGATATTTATATATTTATATTGGCAAAAACGAACAATATATATTCTTTTTAGATTTAAGTAAAGTTTAAAACAAATATCTGCAGGTTTATCTGACATCCTTCACACCATAAGGAACATACACCTTTGCTCCAGCAATTTCCTTGGTAAGGGGAACCTAAATATTAGAATATTAGAAATCACGAGAAATGGAAGGATTACATTTAAACTTTTCTTATTTAGCAAAATTTCCAGAAAGTAGGATTAAAACAAGTTTTCAGAAAATGTCTGATTAAAACTTATCCAAGTAGAAAATGGGATTTCAGGAAAATTTCGAGTATTAGTTTCATGAAAGTAGTTTCTATGAATATCTTTATCAGAATCCTAGGCGTAAAAGGTGGTCTTGATAGAGAATCCTGAGCCCGCGATTTTAAAAATTCGGAAAAATACAACTCAGGTCTAAGCTGCTGTCGTTGGGCCTTATTTATGGCTTGGGCTTTTGAATTTAAGTTGCATCCAAGTTTCCACAGAGTCGAGTTCATTAAACCGGTTTATTAATGTATTTTTATGGTTGGAATTGGCGCATTTTGGGTTTTGATGAGAACAACACTCAGTATTGAGCTTTATTCTCCACTAAAAACAACCAAGTCGGCTTTATTTTCTCCGTAAGTCGAGCCCAAGATCTCGCAGCTGTCAATCACATGAGAAAAGCAGTCGTCAGAGTTGGGTCTTAAAGCTTTTAAATTGCAAGCTTTGAGCTAAGAACTTTCTATTTTTAGATGAAGTTAATTATTTTAATATATATGAACGGTACGACCAACAAGAAATAGACCAATTTAAAATTATTGCATTCTCAAGTCGCCTGTTATAAAAGGATTAGGTTCTTGATCGCTTGAAAGTGGATTTCAAGTTAATTCTTTTGAAGGCATTATTTATTTAGTTTTTGTTTAAATTTTTCTGAAAATTTTCAGATAAGTAATGAAATATATTTTTTGTACTAATCATTTTCAAATATTGCTAATAGTTTTTGCTACAAATTTTTTTATTACTTCCATATCTTTGTTCCATTAATTCCATTAATTCTGTTAAATCAAATACTCTATGTTAGAAATATAAAAGGTTTTCACTATCAGATTGAAAAGCTATTGAGATTTGAGTTTGTGGCAAAGACGCAATTCCTTTATCTTGGTTAGTTTAACTACAGGGTTACCCATAAAGGGTAATACTTCTGTAAGGACTGAACCTCTATTATCTCTGGACTGAACAGAATCTTAAGTTTTTATTGTATAAGCTATGATTTACTGCAACTAAACTTAATTGTGTCTTGCCAAAGCAGGTATTTTACCAGTAATAAACTATCTGTAAGGTAGAAAGCAAGTTCAAATTTTAGATCATTATTGTTAAGAGGTGGAGGTCGTCTTGGAAGTATTAACCCTTCGGTAACTCTGTAAGTACAAAACATCTCTTCCGATCAAGAAGTTCAAAGTCTTTCTTTTGGAAAACTGTTTTCGATTAAGATGGTTTAAACCCTTATATTCTTCTTTAATTGTGAAAATGAACTACATTAACTCTAGATTTAGTAAAAGATACGACTTATTACAGATGTACAGATGTAAAACAGCTGTACAGTACAGCTTATATATTGTATTTAGCTAAGCCCAATAGTTTGGCATAAAGTGTTAACCCACATATCTAAATTTTAAGACGGCCGACGGGTTACACGCTTTGGGTAACCCTGTTAAACTTAATACATAAAGGACTATGTGATACTACTCTTTTAATTTATTCTAACCTGGCAAGCAAGTCTTGAGGTTTCACAGGGTTCGAATGCTAGCTCAATCATGTCAAGCTCTTCGTCAGTAGGTTTCGCCTTGATCTTCTCGAAATCCTCCTGGGCAAAGTACACATGGCAGGTGGAGCAGGTGAGGGTCCCCTCGCAGGCTCCAAACCCTGGGAACTCAGGCTCAAGTTTATTATTCACCAACACGTCAAGAAGGTTTTCATTTTCCACACCTTTAGCTGGTAGATTTTTAATCTTGTTCGTCTCCACAAACATAACATCAATGACATTTTTCGATGCAGAATTTGATAGCATCGTTTTTATCCCAAAAGTCTTGATTCCTACGTTTCCTACGACTTGAACCAGAGATTTCCTGAGAGCGAACATGTTGCACGTGTGGAATCTGTCGGACTGATGGTTTGAGGATTTTTAAAAACTGTTTCGCGGATTTTTGACCCAATAATTCGGGGATTTAACTTAAATTTCTTTTACAAGCCTCGAGTTTTAATAAATCTGATGTTAGTAAGGATGAAACATTTTCAAATTACGGAGTTTATGGCAAAAATGATTTAAAATTTGCGGTCAGAACATTATAGCTCTTATAGCACTCTTCCCTAATCAGTGATCATGCCGAATAGTGTTATTTATGTCGTATTATGGGGAAGGGTATGTCTAAACCATATTTAACTATTCTTCGGAGTACGATATTTTTACAATAATAAACAAATATTGCTTTCGATAAAAATGTATGTATATGATGAAGAAATTTTTCGTATTTGCCAAAAACTTAAAATTAGAAACTGTAAAGTATATATTTAAATTAAAATGTTTTATGTCCAAATCTTTTTTTATTACATACAAACAGAAAAATATTTCTTTTTTTATTATTATTCTGTGAAAAACACATATTAAGAGATTGGTTGGTACCTATCTAGGTCAACAAATAACTCTGAGAATGAAGAAATTGAATAAAACTCAATATTTTGCATATTTAATATCTATTGCACAAAACATATTTTTAAACAGCTTTCTTCATCTACAATCTCTACAATGGGAAACAGAATTAAGTGGATTTCTCTCCTACATTTTAATCATAAAAATTCGTTGATGAATTTGACAATTAAAAAAGGGCTCTGGACATTTTTAGAAATATGTCATGAGTCATGACGCAACTGCGTTGCAAATTATGAATTAAAAAACTTTTTGATTAACGTGTTAGTCACTCAGGCACCATATTTTTCAAAATGTCTATTTTAAGAAGTATATCCATTCCCGTTTGCATATTTGGACCACCTGTAAAGCATATTGATTTTTGTGTCAGTTAATGTATAAAATATTTAACTATTGTTCTGTAAATAATTAAATAACTCTTCATTTTCCCAGTTATATAGTTGAGGTCCTCGGTCTGTAAAACAGTTATATATATCACTAGCTGAAGTGCCCGGCATTGCCTGTCGTAATTTAGATTTTTTTGAAGAAAAAAAATTACGAATTTTTAGATGATTAAATTTTAGATTTTTATCCTATTCTCCCCCGCGGGGTACTCAAGGGTTCCCTAAAAAAATGTTGGCCCATTCAGTCCATCCGTTTGGCCAACTATAGCTAACATACAAACAGATATAGATGAGCAAAGAACTTAATTAATTAGGAATAAATCTTACGAATTATGATGAAACTACAATGTAAGTAGAAGAGTATAGATATATTTTGTTTATAATATACTGTTACGTATTAAAAAAGCTTAGCACTTAGTATTATTGTAAACAATTTAACAGCCATTAAACATTTTACTTGATAAACTCAAAAATGTAAAATTCAAAAGATTCGTAAAATTATCTAGCGTTGGTTTAGCAATTTTAGAAATGATTTTTGTCTCGTGTTTTTTGATCCGAGCTGTTCTGTTTTTGAGATAATCTAAATTTAACAGCTGAGCTAAAGATAAGGGATAAACTAAACAATATATTGGGATCTGTAATGTGATTTATTTTAAAAATTTTAAACAATAATTAAATTAATAAAAGTTTAGCATTTTTAAAGAAAATTCATTTTCTGTATTTTAATTACTTTTAAAAGTTTTTGCGGCCCAGTCACCATTAGAAATTATTTTAATTTTCAAAACTTTTAAATTGCAGTCTCACAATCATCACAAAGTTAAACATTTTTCCTCAAAATTTAATAAAAGATATTAATTTCTAAAGTGACTGTACAGTGCAAAAGACATGAAATATCATCTTCTTTATTATTAATTTGCCTGAAAGGTGAAGGGCACATTTTGATGAAATAAATCAGTTTATAAGCTAAAATATTAATATTTTTTTTGTAAAACCTCTATTTTCAATCTTTGCACAAAATTTTATTGAACTTGAACATTTATAACAAATATTTTAACTCTTTATTAAATGCCTGTATTATAAGCCGGACATATTTGAAGTTAAAATGAAAAAGTCGACATGATAATCAGATAAGTCGATAAGTTAATCAGATAAGTCGACAAGATAATCAGATAAGTCGACAAGATAATCAGATAAGTCGATAAGTTAATCAGATAAGTCGATAAGATAATCAGAAAAAAGTGCCCTGTTACATCTACATTCTACAGCAGCATGATGACTATCGTTCTTGCCTTTTCAAAAAGAAAAGCAGAACTATTTTGTTTTTGTGAAAGGTTCAGAAGTCAGTATTGACGAATGACAAAAACTTGAACTACAGTGAGAACCAGACAATGAAGACTACTGTCAGGCGCAGGTTATGAATTTAGAAAGTCCAATGAACATAAAACAGACCCATTTCACTTAATAAGTGAATTGCTAAATTAAAAGTAAAACTGTTTGCTTTGTAACAAAATCAAAGACACGTATTTCATTGTTTTTATGACCTCTTCCTATTACAAAGTTTTTTTTTGGTTCTTGCGGTAAGAATAGTTAATTCAGTTAGTTAAACTCTCTAGTGTGCTGAGACTAAGAGTTCTACCAGCTATGCCTAGTTATTTATAGTAATATAGTTTTTAAACTTAATAATATTATAATAATATTATAATATCAATTTAAATTCGTTACTGCAGTACTTCTATATAAAAGAGCAACTATCTTTATTATTTGTACTGTATAAATGATTTTCTTGTTTAGTTGTTAAACAAAAGCACGAAAATGTGGTCTGCCTTTTATGTGCCTTCAAAATGACCGGAGAACGAAGATTTTTGTTCAGATTTCACATTTTGGAAATGCCAGGATTGTTTTTGATAATTTTTCAAGAATAATAAATATAGAAGTAGGTTGACAAATTATTTTACAAGATCGAATACTACCTTCAAGTCGTCTCTCAACTATCATGTTCGTGGGACACACTGTACACAAAAATTTGTTTTCTGTTCATACAGACAATTAAAATAAAAAGGCTTTAAGTGACAATAATTAAACATGATTAAAGATTTTATAAGAAAAAAAATATTACTGCACATGGATATATTCGGTATTTGTACATGCAGTTTACATATTTATCAGAGATATGAATTTTAGTTTGGAAATTGTTAATTTTGAAAGATTGATCAAATTTTAGGATCAATCAATGCAATTGATTCCTCAATTAAAGTTGTTCATGCAAGATATAACCATCACGGGATATCGTAGAGGAATTAACTTAATTCGTAGATTGAAAGAAGATGGAGATCAATGCTTGGTCTCAAGGTTTTCAACACAAAAGTTATGACTTCAGCTATAAATAATCAAATAACTGGTTTCAGCTGGATTCAAAATGGCGGATGAAAAGAAAGATGGCGCGAAGAATCCTAGCTACTGCTACAGTACAGCTGTTTCAGATGCTGTTCTAGCTGCAACATGTGTTTATGGTAGGCTTTTTCACACAATCACAAATAAATCCTCTCTTATAAAATGCATGTGCTCTTAAAGTAGGGTTTTACTTGCGCGCAATTGCGGGACCCAAAACCGCGTAATTTCACACAAATCCACGCAAAATGAGAACAGTTGCGCGCAATTCCGGGCAACGGAGTTCCGACTGGAACCCTATCTTTGACGTACATGCTTATTGATCACTTGCTTGTTTAAATATTTGACTTTACTATCAAACAGAAGCCTAATTTCAGCCTAAAGTCTGCTTTCCTGAATGCCTTTTTCCCCTATATTTGACTCATTCTTTTTTTAGACCCACTTCCAGAGTCCAGACATTGAATTTCAACATAAGTTTTGCAAACAAAATATACAGAAGCTTATAAACAGTGAATTACCACATTTCGGTTTTCTTTACTACACACTTAAATAGAAAACTATGAAAAAAGTTTACTTTGTTTCCGGATTTTATTCTAAAAATTAGAAGATTTGTGAACAATGGAATTTTGTAAGAACGCCATTGTATAATAGTACACACTCTAATACTGGCACGACGTGTTATACTGTTTTTGGACAGACATTTTCCGTATCTTGAATGACCTTTCCCTTTTTGAATCATACTTTTTACCTAAAGAAAAAAAGTAAAAAAAGATCAAATAATCTAATTGTAAAAAAAATATAATAATGGTTATTAAGGAAATATTTCATACTTGATTAATCAAACAATTTAAGTTAAACTAATTTGTTTTTGATCCAAAGATTATTTGTTTATTTTCTAAGAATAATGGTCGGCGTTTATATCAATACAATGCCTTTTCTTTTTACGTTTTGATTTTTAAATTACAAGTTTACAAGAAAACAAAGAGAATCTTTAAATTGACATCTTCTCTTAGTTTCCGTGCTAATACAGTTAAACCTTTAATAACGAATACATCGGAAGAATTTATCAAATGTCGTCTTGAAAATTTTTCAATGAGTTTTATACTATACTACGTAAATTTCAGTATTTACGAAAATAAATAAATAGCCATGAATATGCGGGAACAGTTTTAAAGAATTCCTTATAATCATTTAATTAAAAAACTAAATATCTGCAACATTCCATTATCAGAAAGTGAAGAATACGACATTTGATGAATTCTTTCGATGTATTCGTTATTAAGGGTTTCACTGTATGTATCCATGCTGTTTAAGAGCTTGGTGGACATCAAAATTGAAATCGAATAACGTCTTCATTTCATTGATATGTACGACGATAATTTTAGGTCTGGGAAGCATGGCACATGCGCACTGGTTAAACTTCCGGAAGTTCTTCCTGTTTGGATATATTTGGTTTGGTTTTTGCTTGTTTGCTTCCTGCCTTGGAGTCCTTCGCTTCGGTAGGGTAATAAAAAAATATTTTGAAAGAAATTTTTAATACACTCTCATCACTAAAGTCTATTCTTGCATTCAGAGCTAATTTCTTTTAAATTAAATTTTAGTACCACAAAAATCTTGGGAAAATCTTTCTTTTGAAGTTTAGAATTTGTTTTATAAATATATTGTTCAATTTATCGTTTTTTTAAAGCAAACAACACTTTTTTCATGAATTACCAGCAATAAGTTATATTTTCAGCTGTGTTTCAATGCACAGGATGCAAATTTCCAGGAGAGTATATTGAATGTAGATAGTTTTTTTTATCGTTTTGGATCGAGTTTAAACTAACTTAATAATACTTATAAGGTTTCAAAACTGCATAATGTTAAAGTATGCTTTTATTAGACGTTGCAATTTCTTAATCCAAAAAAAAATCAAAAAGCTATTCTTTCAGCACGTTCTTTTTTGCATTTTACTGGATTATTTTTGGCCGTTCTTTGCTGAAATCTTCCGTCAGAGTCAAAATTTGACATTGTATATAAAATTTGCTTTTATTCCACTATGCCAAATTTAGACCACGAAAATATAGGGGAAAACAAACCAACTAAAAATTATGTAGACTGCAGGTGCAGGGTTTCCTTTCAAGAATTTTACGAGTTTTAAACATATATTTATGTTTGCAGTAAAATATTTACATTAAATAATCCTAGGGCAAAAGAATCTATCTGTAAGTGTGAAGAATGCTCATGTTTTAATCTCCTGGGTAGCTGGAGCTGTAGGACTACCGAACCTTCTTGCTCAGTTCTATACATACACATTTAATAAGGTGGATTTTATCTAATTATTTTTATAACTATCATAGAGATTAAACAAATTTTAAATAACAAACTTCAGTTAGACTTTCCATGAGTCTTATCAGACTGAACATTTTGCACAAAAACGATTCAAACTTTTGTAGCATCAAAATGTATAAAAACAATACCCAATGAAATAAATGTGGAATTCTTAGAGTTGTTAAGTAGTTTGGTGGGTTAAGAAATTTTCTTTTATTTGTTCAGCCTGAGATAGGAAACCTTCATCTGATGACCTGTGGTATTCCTATCCTAGCTTACTTCTCTAGGAGGTCCTGGATACAGGTTAGGTTTGGGTAGGTTGGGCAACGCTTTCAAAAACTATAGGACAAAACTATAGTTTTAAAGCAAAAATTATCATTTTTGTTTAAATTTTAGATAAACAAAAGAATTGAGTCTTTGTCACACGGTCTAACTTTATAATCCCTAAACTTTGCAATCTGATAGTGTAGACCTTTGATGTTTCAAACTTAGATTATGTTTTCTACCGGAATTAGAAATATTTAAAGTCTACGACATTGGGTTGCAAAGACATAGGGATAAGAAAATATGAGTTTGTGGCAAAGGTCCAAATGCTTTTCTCGTTCGAAGAAATTTTTATTCAAATTTTTATTTTTCATTAAAATATGCTATATTTGTTGTTTATGTTTTAAAACGATTGTTTTCATTCCAAAACGATCGTTTTCATTCCAAAACTATCGTTTTCAATACAAAACGATCGTTTTTAAAATTATCGTAATCATTCAAAACTTTCGTTATCATTCCAAAACGATCTTTTTCATCCGAAACGGTCGTTTTAATTCCAAAACGATCGCTTTTCCATTTTTGAAAATGATCGTTGTCCGGAACGAACGTTTCGTTTTTTTCTTCTTAAAAACTATAATAATTAAGTTGCATCCCTTCCAAAAACGATCGTTTCGTTTTCAGATATTTTTAAATTGTTAACAAAACGAGGGGAACGTTTTCAAAACAGTGAAACTGTCCCTCTTTAATCATATGTGCTCACAATAGGAGTTTTGGATATTAAAACAACATTTATTGAAAACTATTTTTGCAAGTTGAAAATGAATTAATAATCAAACAAATGAGAGGTATAAAACCTGATATTTGAGACACAAAGTTAGCATAGCCCAGTCCTGGAATGGAAAGATAAAAGGAGTGTTTTCTGGGAGAACATTTTTTATATCTTTGAATAATCAGTTTGAAGTAGTTATAATTTTCATAAAATCCTTTTATTTAAAGGGAGTGTTCGCGAAAAATGAAAGGGGGTATAGGCTTGATGCGATAAAAAGCGCTTTTGATCGCTACTAATCTTACTTCTATCTGTTGCGTCTATAAGGAGAAAATTGTTTAAGACGTCTCATACTGAATAACTTGGCGTCCATACAAATTGAGAAAATTGCAACATACGAATTAGACCGTAAAAAATCAATTTAATTTTAAACAAATCATTCAGATATTACAACATATAGTCATCGATTATCTTTCGCCACATTTTGAATGGGCGCTAAGTTATTCGCTATGAGACGTCTTTAACAAGTTTCTCCTTATAGACGCAACAGATAGAAATAAGATTAGTAGCGATCAAAAGCACTTTTATATCGCATTAAGCCTATACCCCCTTTCATTTTTCGCGAACACTCCCTTTAAATGGTAACACAGAATATTATAAAATCATATCAGCATTATTGGAGAACTAATCTTATATTTTTGACAAATTTTTTCTTTGTAAAAATAAAACTGTACATATCATTTTCATAAAATAGTTTTTTTAATGGTAACACGCAATTTTATGTAACCATATAACCTTAAACACAATAGAGAGCAGTACAAATGTACATAATAATCTAGTTAGTTGTATAGTGTCTTAATATAATGTCTAGGATATGCTAAAAAATAGAAATAATGATAATGATAATGATAAGTTACAATGTTTTACAAAAACGTTTAATTTCTTAATAATATAAAAAAGATTTCCCGGAAAATACGCATTATTGCTATACCTATAAGCGATTTCTTGTTGAATTTCTATAATGTTTGACTTCATTTTTTCCCTTTCTAGCTACGTACCATTGAATTCTTTTATTGTCAGTTAATTAATCTTAAACATTTTTATTTTGTGAAGGAGTTGGCTGGGAAAGCTGTTGCTGTTGTAAGTGTAATATCCCTTGGTCTAGGAGGATACTACAACAGGAATATATATGCTGTTGCTGCTGCACTTTGCCTCATCATCTCATCACCTTTAGACAGGTCAGATAATTTTTGCCTGACTAAATTTCTTTTCAGACCCACTTTCAAAGATGGCTGAATCTGAACATGTTATAGCTTCCGCCAAAAAACGGACCAAATACCTAGCCACAAACTCGGATTTTCTCTATATCTTTGCAACCTATAAATGGAATAAACTTTTGGTACTCCAGATTTTACCATTACATTGAACAAAATTCATAGTCAACAAACTTTCATAGTTTTGAGTTATAGTTCTGGAAAAGTTACGAGCTAAGGTTGCTAAGATATAAAGATAATTTTAGCATTAGGCGAGAACTCAATTCCTTCATTATAACTTTCCCCATACCCTTCTTTGATGCACCACAGCAGAGATAATGTGAATGTAATATATTTAACAGTTCGTTAAACAGTCTGTAGTCGTAATTTTAAGTGATCCAGCATTTGCAGAGTGCCGTGTCCGATTTACAATTTTACTCTTTAAACATTCAACCATATCTAATCAATAATGTGGAAGATAACATCGTCTTCCTAGCTTGACATGTTTTAATTCCGATAATTTCTGCACTGTTTCCACGGAACAGAAATGCGCAATCGAGTGTTGTAGAGAAACCTCAAATGAAAATAATCAGTTTTCTAAATTATAGAGATTGATTTCTAATACTTGAAACTAGACATTGACACCGTTGTAAATCAGACTTGACCACTCTAAAACGGATGGTCACTTTGAATTATGTATACAGACCCATTAAAAGTAAAAAATGGCATTATTATCAAATACAAATATCTAAATTGATCTGATTTGTCTTTCTAGCTAATTTTGTTGTATTCCGGATTGTTTGATATATGAGTGAACAGTCCCTTGAATCCAACAGGAAGCCAGATGGATCAGTACATCCCGGACCGCTGCAGAGTAGACACAAGTCTCCCTGCACTTAGCCGTCCTGGGACCTGCGCTACATATAGTGCACACACAGCATACAGAGAGAACCCTTTTGGACGAGATAGAAGAAGATGAACCGTGTTCCTATTCTAGTACGGAACCCGGCCTTTGTTGGTGGACTAGAACCGGATGAAGATGGAGTAGATCCAGCAGACTCAGCTCCCTCCATAAGTGGGAATGATCCAGTTACCACAGTTCCTGCTTCAGATGACGAGGAAGCAGGTGGAGAGGTTACTACGGGTAGAGCTGAAGTAGGGCGAGAAGATATGGTGGATATGTATGACTTTCTAGGTGAGATAGTGGAGCAGATACAAGCATTCAACTCCACCATGCAAGGAAGCAGCAATCCCAGTCAACCACCTGCGGTCCCTGACGTCAACACATGGGATACAGGGAAGGCTATCAAGCAGGAATATCGGATGTTCCCCAACCCGACCAGGAAAGGGTTGAAGGACAGGTTAGACAACCAGATATGGAGCCTGCTCCAGATCATGCAGGAACGAGTTGACCAAGGTACCACCCCCCCCCCAGATTTAGTGTATATAAAATCGTTCTCTAGGAATATACCAATGTATATCTTTACAATCTAATGATGTAAACTATTGACATGTCTATCTATATATCTATATATATTAATAATAATGTTATACTATGGAATCGTTCTATAATAATAATAATAATAATAATGTTGTATTCCGGATTGTTTGATATATGAGTGAACAGTCCCTTGAATCCAACAGGAAGCCAAATGGATCAGTACATCCAGGACCGCTGCAGAGTAGACACAAGTCTCCCTGCACTTAGCCGTCCTGGGACCTGTGCTACATATAGTGAACACACAGCATACAGAGAGAACCCTTTTGGACGAGATAGAAGAAGATGAACCGTGTTCCTATTCTAGTACGGAACCCGGCCTTTGTTGGTAGACTAGAACCGGATGAAGATGGAGTAGATCCAGCAGACTCAGCTCCCTCCATAAGTGGGAATGATCCAGTTACCACAGTTCCTGCTTCAGATGATGAGGAAGCAGGTGGAGAGGTTACTACGGGTAGAGCTGAAGTAGGGCGAGAAGATATGGTAGATATGTATGACTTTCTAGGTGAGATAGTGGAGCAGATACAAGCATTCAACTCCACCATGCAAGGAAGCAGCAATCCCAGTCAACCACCTGCGGTCCCTGACATCAACACATGGGATACAGGGAAGGCTATTGAGCAGGAATATCGGATGTTCCCCAACCTGACCAGGAAAGGGTTGAAGGACAGGTTAGACAACCAGATATGGAGCCTGCTCCAGATCATGCAGGAACAAGTTGACCAAGGTACCTGCAATGATACAGATATTAAGCTAATAGAAGGATTACAAGTCCTAGCTGTTCTACACGCTAGACTCGATGTCCTTACTGATATAGCGATCAGACACAGAGCTAGGAGACCTTAACCATACCAAGGGATCTAGAGCTTATGTCCCGCTATTACTATTATGTATATGATATATATGTATGCATTTATAGATGTAAGATTAAATGTATCAATAAATATACTTATACATGTGAACGACTTTACTATTAGGGTGTTATTTATGTACGTGCATTCAGACATATAAGGCTATCTCGATATATGGAGATTGTAATACCAGGTTACAAATATATGACAGCGCATGAGGAGTTAGGCCCGCGGAGTAGGACTAACCCGATCTGCATTGAATACATATGTAAAACGTATACAGTACATAGTGCATAGTACAGATCATGTAGTACACAGTACAAAGTACATAGTATAATACAGTTGTACTGGCAGAAAGAGATACCCCCCCCCTAGGGTGATGGAAGGGGGATAGTATGGGGGTTGTGCAAAGCAATAAATTTAACTATATTGGATATTGAACCCTGAACTATTTGTCCTCAATATTTGAAAAATTTTAGTTGAATGACTGTTGAAAAACGTGCTAAATTCTAAAACAGAAGCCAAGCTGGACTATAACAATAAATAATGGGGCCAGGCTTGGCTTAGAGTTTATCCCAGGGTTGAAGGGGTCAACCCCCCCTTCTCACCCCCCGGAATACATGTGCAGGGTTGCGCGTAGAAACTGTACCGACCAATAGTGTACAGGATTATACTGGGCTCCGGCCGCGACAGAGGTGTATCATCTTATCCGCCAATAGGAGCAAGATCTGCACTATACTCTGTTTCAAACCCATAACACTGTACTAAACCAAGGGATAAACACTCAAGATAAAGAATGGCTAAAACTCAGTCTACCGACAACCAGGATAAGAAGAGGAGGACTTCAGGTATACCCCGGACTTAAAATATTTAGACAGATGGACTTTAGTTAGTTACTCTGTAAGAATAGTTAAGTACCTATAGCGTAGGGTAGATAGAAGTTCTCAACCACTTCATCCTAGAATAAAGAGTGAGTTAAAACAGTTATTTCAATTTTAAAGTTTCAAGTTCTACGGAATTAGAAACTAACAGTTACTTGGGTTCTACGGAATCCCTGTAGCTAATATTCAATAATCTCAAGTTCTACGGAATTAGAGATTAACAGTGACTTGGGTTCTAACGAATCTTTGTGGCTCAAAATTCACTTGGGTTACACCTAATCCCTGTGATTAATTATATATAATTCTTAATTTCAAGTTCACTAGAATTTGGAATAAACGAATAAACTGAGTTCTAAGGAATTAGGTTTTTTCGGAGGAATATATATATAATAATTATTTCAAGTTCTTAGGAATTAGAAATAAATTAATAAACTGAGTTCCAAGGAATTAAGTTTAAAACTGTAACGTCCCGAGTTCAATTGAATTAAGGATAAAACAGTATAAATCTCACCCTCTAAATATTCTCAAGAAAATTATACTCAGGGCAGTGTTAAAGGTTGACTATTTAACTAATCTTTAACAATGCCTGGAGATGAGAATAATCCTAACCTCCAGCCAGCTGGAGCCTCCACCGGAGCGGGAGAGGATATGCCCGTACATTAGGAGTGGGTGAAATATGTTTTAAAAATACATTGTTTCAATCCTTCCGTCCTCCTTGCTCATTTAATGTATCAGATATGGAACCTTCTATGTCTAAATACAGGAAGATGAGCAGGAAGGAATATGTACAGGCCCTCCATGAACGGTTGGAACCTGCCTCTGCTTGTGACCTCATTTATACTCAATTTAAAGAGAGGACGCAAAAAGTAGGGGAAGTATTTGACCTTTATCTTCGTGATAAATATAACTTATTTATAAGGTCATTTCCTAATGGGAAAACTAGAATTTTCAAAGAATTCTGTGAATCCAGTATTAGAGGATTACACAATGAAATCTTAAGGAATAAGGCTCGAGAATTCCTCTCGATCCAGGCGATCAACAGGTTCAAGGTTGAAACGTTTGATCAATTGAGGCGAATTATACAAGTCTCAGTTGAAAACATTCAGGCTAGAACCATCGCCGGAGAGCTTGATGCATCAGATGCAATAGGCACTGACATCTGTCTCATGAATTACAGTTACACTAACGCTGCAAGTTCCCGCGAAAAAGAGAGGAAAAGCAGATATGGAGTGAACGTAATGGATGAGGACGTAGAGGAAGACGAAGTTGCAGCCTTTAGAAGGTTCAAGAAATATCAAAATCAGACCGGTTATAAAGCTAAAGGGATTAAAGGATTTACTGTCCCTGGTAGACAACCCTCAGAAGACGATATTTGCTATAATTGTAATGGTAAAGGTCACTTCAGCAGGAATTGTCCCAGGAATAATTTACCTGGACGTTATCAGAACGTTAACAAGGTAGAGAAGTCCAATCCCGATACCTCTGATGATATTAAAGGAAACCAGGACAATTCAAGCTCTGACTCTGATCTAGAGATAGATTATGTAAAAGAGAAGAAGAAACCTAAAACCAGCCAAACAAAAAGCAAGAAAAGTCGTCGCAATATCTACCAGATAGTAGAGGAACAGGGTGCAAAATGCAAAAATGTCTGAAGTTTGTACCCTAAGCTCACAGCTGTCTGAACTGATGTCAACCATGTCAGGACGGAAAGGAGAGGTAAACACTCTAGGTGCAACCTCTGTATTCCCTCCAGACGTGGAAGACATCAATAGAGAAGGCAATGACAACATATTCGCTTTTTTATAGGCAGCTCATTATGTCGCAATAG